ATATAGAGACAGTAAATGAATTAATGTTTTGGGGGGGGATGTAGAGGAGTTTGAGATAAAATGAGAAGCTAATAATGATTATCAGAAAGAAGAACATATTCTAAAATCAATTGATGATAATCATGTCTCTTTAATATTACTGAACTATTGAATTATATATGTGAATTATGTACATAAAACTATTAAAAATATAATCAAAAGAATGCTTAAGGTATGTATTGAGAAATTCACAAACAGGTAAAATTATAAATAATCTTAAATAATTTAATATGAACATTATCTTGCAGTACTTAATGCACAATGGCTTTGTTGTGTACTTTAAAGTAGTGTTATCATCATCACATACACACACAAATCATGTGTCTGAACATACACCACTATTTGAACTCTAAAGAAAATATAAAAGTTCAGAAGAAATTATACAGCTAGTTGTGTATTAAACATTTAATGTGGGTTTTTTTTTTAACTCAAAAGATCTCTGAATGTAGCTAAGACACTAAGAAGAATTTTAATGCAGGGTGTAATTACTTAAGGCATTAAAATGGACTAAGGTAAAAAGGGCGCCAATTTTAATGAACAATTTAGAAATCTATTTTGTTGAAGCAAAACTATGAATAAATTAAAATTTTAATCTTATTTGTCTATTTGTTCTTACAGACAATATGCTTCTGATGTAAATATACCCAATAATAATTCTGTAGGCTAGAATTTGGAAACTATTTTCCCTATTACCTAGAATATTTTATTGAACCACAACCATCAAGAAAAATAATAAACTATTTCTAAAATCATAAGTAAGAAGTAAGAAAACCCAAACAATCAAATCCACTCACATCATAGATTTGATGCCAACTCATAGAAATCCTGTATAGTGCCCCCAAACTATAAACCTTTACTGGAGTACATAACCTCATCTTTCTCCCTCCAAGAGGTTGCTAAGTGTGAACCAATAACCATGTGATTATCTGTCCAATACTTACCTGACCGTGGCACCAAGAAGTAAAAGTAGTGAAAGGCTGAATCAATATTTTAAAAAAAAATCTATTCTAACCCTTTCATCTCCTATGCGTGAACTTCATGTACTTAAATCCCCAGTCCTTGTTCAAAAATTTAAAATAGTGACCTTTTTGCCCATCTCAAAAGATTGTTAAATTGAACAAGATAAAGTAATTAAAGACTTGTGAATAATACCATGCCATTCTAATGTAATTGCAGTAGTAGCCGCACAAACCATTGTAACAGGAATTCATTTATGTAAACCTACAATTCTGGGTCTACGCAGGTACCCACACATTTGTATCTGCTTTTGAAAGTACTGAGCTATGAATTAGCCAAGGTAAAATTCAAAGGCAATTACAACTTTTTTTTAATAAAACAAGCAAAAAGGAACATCTTGCCAGCCAGGAGACTAAAGGATGGACTTCTGCCAAAACTGACAAATCTGAGGTGAGAAAAATTTACCATAACATTGATGCCCTTCAGAAAACAAAAGTACAAACACTTGCTGATATCTTACACCACCAGCTGATTGCCACAATGTTTGCGGTTCGTTGATCCTGCCCGAAAAAGAAACATATACAGGGGATGGATTGGACATATTGGTTATAGTGAGGGAATAGCACATTTTTCTGACTGGAAATATTTTGAAAGTTTAATGTAATGTAACTAAAACATGAGAAACATACAGGTGTGGTACCAATTTGATTCATTTATAGTTCAGGTCAATATGTCATGGCCTTTCATGTTTAATATACACATTCATTAATGTTATTATTAAAAGTAAGATTTGATACAGTTATGACTGGCACTAATGAAAAATCCCACAATAATTTTAACATTCCAGTTTGTAGATTAGAAATACACAATGCCATTATACTTCTGGCATTAGTTACATAACAATTGTCAATATAATATTAAGAAAAGAAAATATAATTGCTAATCATAGCTATACTCTAAATACAACAGAAGTTGTCCTCTAATGGTGGAGGTTACTGATGAAGGGAGCCCTGGTGGCAGCCTTGAGTAAGCATTGGGTGAGAGCCACAAGGCTGATGGTTCAAGCCCACCAGCCTTTTCAAGAGAAAAAGATTATTCTCTCTGCTCCCATGAAGATTTACAAAGCCTCAGAAACACAATAAGGGTTGCTATGAGTTGCATTCATGCCACATATTGCTATGTCAGTACTTTAGGGTTATATTATTGGACATAAAAATGCTAATAAATTTATGGAAAATCTAAATCAATCATTGGGCAGTATTTTATACAACACTAGCAGTTACAACTATTCTAAACATAATTTTTTGAATTTTATGGGAAATAATTTTAGTAACACTTTTTGAATAGCATCTTTATAACAAATAATATGTCATCAAAGAATATAATATTTAATTCTGGATAGATGACACAAAACACATTGACCTTCTCCATATTCTGTATAAATTGGAAAGACTTTCATAGGAAATAAATAGAAATGATGATACTGACATCTACAGGGAAATTTCATTAAGCAGACTGTATTAGTGAAAACCGGTCATATTGTCCTGTTTTTATGCATCAGTGTATGGCCTGGGAAATGTAAATTTATGTCTCACCTGGAAAATGAAAGAGTTGACCAGGATAATGTCTGAAAATTTTACCAACCCCATGGAACTCTGAACCAATTCCAAATCCACTTCAACTATAAGAGCATTTACCAATTCCTAGAATGGCAAGGCACTGTACTGGATACGAGTATTTCAAAGTGAAGCAGACACTGGCCCCATCCTCGAGTTAAATTCCATACTCACACAGAGTCATCCTCTCCTGGTGCAGAAACACAATGCACCTGTTCTGAATTGAGGATAGATTCATCAACAAGGCAGAGCAGGCCCTTGCTGCCCCTACACACCCCACCCCCAGGGGGATAAAAAAGAATAGCAGAGAACATACAAAACCACAAGTGAACAAATGGGTGCTACGGGGCAGACAATGGAGTGCGCTTGATACAGGGACTGAAGAGACTGTGATTAGATGGCGAAAGGGGATGACTTCAGAAGACTTCTCTGAGGAAGAGGCACCTGGGCTGTGATTAAGTTCCGGGAAAGAATGAAGCATCTGTGGGGTACAGAAGGAGGCTGTGGAGCATCTCAAATCATAGATCCGAGCAAATTCTAAGGCTAAGAAGTGAGTAAGAGTGAGACTTGCTAAAAAACAAAAAAGACAAAAGCCGGTGGAGGAGAAAATAAGACGAAGAGAGATGGACAGGACAAGTTTACCTACTGTTGAGGGATGCGCGGGAGGAACACGACGGCTTTTCTACAGGCTGTGCAACTATTGCACACAGGATGCAATTTATGGTTTAAGATGAGGAAAATTCACTCGTTGGCTGTAAATTTAAATAAATCATTCAATGACTATACACAGTAGAACTTGAGGGAAATTAATCATATTAACATTTTAAGTAGGGGCAAAAGTGAAGCTCAGAAATGGGAAAGAGATGACGGACTGGGCTCAAAATGGACCAATGAAGACCGAAGCGGTTGGACTTCGGATGCTGCAATCCGCAGGATCTGGAGATGAAAGGACGTGGTGGGTAAGGCAGAGTTGAGAGACACTGAGCTTTCGGACTTCAATCGACAACTGGAGGGCGCCGACATTCACAAAGGCTGGACCAGGAGCTGGGGCGGAACAGGCACTGATGGGTGGAGGGGAGCTTTTAACTTCGTTAAAAGTATTTGGTATTCAAGTCTTTTATAATGACCAGTATTTTACATTCACAAGTTTAAAATCTTAAGGAAGTTTGAGTACCTTTATATACTGGCATCAATTCAGCATATAAGATTTCTATAAACTGTGAAATAGTAAAAAAAAAAATATTTTAATTTCATTTTATACCACTGTTCCTATCCAGAAAGTCATTTTCCTGCTTTCCTAAGTGGTAAAATCTTATGATGCTTTTAAGGTTCAGATGAAAGATCACCTAGTCTTCTATTGTCTTACATATCTACACTTTTAAATAGCAAAACAATTATTTATTATCTTTATTCCTAAATGACTGCATATCAACCTTCATTATAGCTAATGGCATGAACTAAGCTACACTCTCAGAAACCTACAGGGGCAGTTCCACCCAAATATGGTGGTGGGTGCCACGAGTCAGAGTCGACTCAATGGCGGTGAGTTTGGTTTGGAATGTCCAAAGGCGCATTACTCGGATTCCTTTTATAATATCTATTTTATGATGTCATATGTGTGTGCAAGTATGCAGGAGTTTTCTCAAAGTATGATTTCTAATATATGCATCAGCATACCATGAAGTTGCTGATAAAATAAATGCAAATCCCTGGATCTTTCTACCTCAGTCTTAATGGATCTGAATTTCTCATAGTGAAATCTCAGAATCTGAACTATAACAGGGTATCCTGCACACCATCAGCTCAGGTGATAATGTGCACTCTCAAGAATAAGTCTGAGAACCTTGGAATTCGACCGTAAGCTCTTGAACAATATAAACGAGCGATTATTATTTATAAACCCCCATTGTCTGGCTATCTCTGACCTAAAGCCGGGGCTTCAACATTTTTTCTAATTGTAACAGTTTTATTGACATATTTCACAAACAAGTATTTGATCACAGTCATTCATTCAACTTATCATAGCAAATTGACGTTTACATGTATTTGCTTACTTATTTATAAAGATCTATCTGTTGTTAGGTACCTTCTAGTCCATTCTGAGTCACAGTGACTATATATACAACTGAATGAAACACCACCTGGTCCTGCTCCATCCTCACAATTGCTAATATCCCAAGCTCATTGTTGCAGCCACTGTATCAATTGATCTAGATGAAAGTCATTCTCTTTGCCAAAACCTCTCCACTTTTTAGAGCACCATATCCTTCTCCAGGAACTGGTCTCTCCTGACAATATGCCCGATTTATATAACACAAAGTCTTACTCTCCTTGCCTCTAAAGAGGACTCAAGCCATACTTCTTCCAAAACAGATTTGTTTATCCTTGTGGCAGTCCGGGCTACTGTCAATATTCTTGATCAGCCCTGTAACTTAAATATATCAATTCTTCTTTGGTTTTCCTTATTTAATATCCAACTTTCACATGCATATGAGGTGACTGAAAATATCATGGCTTGGATCAGGCACACATAAGTCCTCAAAGTAATCTATTTGCTTTTCAATACTTTAGAAGGGTCTTGTGCAGCTGATTTACCCAAAGCCATGCATCACTTGATCTCTTGACTCCATCTTCCATAGATATTGATTGTGGATCCAAGCAAGGTGAAATAATTGATGTCAATATTTTCTATATTTTCATGACCTTATCTATGGTCTAGGTTTGAAGATTTTTGTTTTCTTTATATTGAATTATTTGTAATCTATACTGAAGGCTGTTATCCTTGATGTTCATCAGAAAGTTCACCTCCCTTTCAGCAAGCAAGGTTGTGCCATCTGCATATCCCAGATTGCTAATGAGCATTCTCCATTCCTGATGCCACATTCTTCTTCAGATAGTCCAGCTTCTCTGATGATTTCCTCAGCATACAAGTTGAATAAGTATGGTAAGAAAACACAGTCTTGAGGCAGGTCATACCTGATTTTTAACCATACACAGTATTTCCTTGTTTTGTTCACCCAACTGCCTCTTGACCCATGTAGTTTCTACAAGAGCACACCCAAGGGTTCTGGAGTTCCCGTTCTTCTCAAGGCTATGAATAGTTTATTATGATCCTCACTGTTGAATGCCTTTTATCTTAGTAAGAAAATTCTCTTAGCAAGCCTGTGATTCTATTTTTATCAATAGTGACTTTAAACAACTCTGACTGCATTTGGAGGAAGCAGCCAGACGTCGATGTGAGAATAGGTACCTAATTATAGATCTAAGAAACATTGATAATAAATAGGGTTTTCTCCCCACCAAAATAAATTATATCTGACAGATTTTTAACACAAATGCATGTGAAAAGGACCTATGTTGGTTAAGGAGTTTTAATTGTAGGGTTTGGGGCAAGATGCATGAATGATACATACATGGAGAAATAACATGTAATTTGACTTGATGGCCTTTCGCCAAGGTAAACATCTCACTCTATCAAGTATTTCTCCTAAAACATATGATCCTTTAAGAACAGGGAAAATTACTTAAACATCTATTTATCACTAATTCTCAGCACAGTGTTAACATATTCAACACATGTATATTGGTTGAACTGTCTTAACTCATTTCTTACTGAACCCTTATGTGAAAAATCACCATAAAGCAAGCCTGTGTAAATATGCATTCATGAATAGCAATAAACCCATGATTTTCAAGTCAATTCATATTCCTAGCAACCCTAATGGGTAGAGTAAAACTGCCCCATAGATTTTCCAAGGCTGTTATCCTTACAGAAGCAGACTGCCCCATCTTCCTCCATATAGTAGGCTTGATCCACTGACCTTTTGGTTATCAGTCAAGTATTTAACCATTACACTATCAGGAGTCTTCAGAAATAACAATCCAAACCCAAACCAAACTTGCTACAACTGAGATGAGTCAATTCATAGTAACCCTATAGCACATGGCACAATTGCCCCACAAGATTTCTATGGCTGTAATCTATAGAAGCAGGAAGTCTCAGCTTTCTCCTGTAGAGAAATGGTGGGTTCCAGCCACAAACTTTTTGGTTAACTGCTCAGTGCTTTAGCACTGCACCATGTGGCTAGTAACCTAATACCTCTGCTTTTACACAACCAAGTGCTTTGTCAAAAGAGCAATTGTGATGACAATTTTGTAATAATTATGGTCAATGAATGGAGCTAATGAACAGAAATCAAAGTTTCAAGGTGAACGCATACAGCAGTAATTTAGAACTGAGCTTTCTCAACCCCATCCATAAGCAGTAGTCCTACCTGAGCCTTTTGTTTCACAATTGATTACAACTGATCATAATACAAGTTTAACAGAGGAGTGTGTTAATCTGTAAAAAACAAAGCTTTTCTTGATCATATAATAAAATTGAGCAGGATGATTCAAAATATACCATATCCTGAATTACAATTTGAAAACATTATTCTTTAATACAGTTAGAGAAAAATTAATATGATAGCTCGTGTTTATTAGGAGGGGATATGATTATTTTTGGTCTGTTTATAATTTTGAAAAAAATCATCTAGGACATTTAATTAAAATAAGTAGGTTTAAGTTACATAATGTGGGAATTAACTTACAAGTACCTAATAGAAAACTTTAAAGTCATAAAGCACGCGGATGTCACTTTGGGGACTAAGGGTACCCACCAAGCTATGCTATTTTTAATTGCCAAATATGCACATGAAAGTTGGACAATGAATAAGGAAGACTGACTGAAGAATTGAAGCATTTGAATTATTGGGAAGAGTATTGAAAGTACTGGGGACTTCCAGAAAAACAAACAAATCTCTCTTGGGAGAAAGGCAGTCAGAATGTCCCTCAGAACCAAGAATTGTGAGATTTGTGTCTCAAACTCTCAGCATGTCATCAAGAGAGGTTTGTCTCTGGAAAAGGATGCCATGCTTGGTAAAGTAGAGGGTCAACCAAAAAGGAGTGAATCCTCTCAACCAGATGGACCGACACAATGGCTGCAACCAGGGGCTCAAACACAAGGATGATTTTGAGGCTGGCACAGCCCCGGGGAGTGTTTTGTTCGGTTGTTCATAAAATTGTCATCAATCGGAGTCAACTCAATGACCCTTAACAACAACAACAGCAAACTTAAGAGTCCCTAGATGGGCACAAATGTTTTAGTTCTCAACCACAAACCGAAGTCGTGGTGACTTGGCAATCCACTTCTGAAATATCAGCCATGGAGAATTCCTCAAAACACAGGTAGATATGTACTCTAACACTGTCAATGGGAATTGCCAACTTAAGGAACATGTTTTGTAGTACTGACAATCACATAACCATTCTTACTCACCAATTATAAGTTGTTTCATGGTGCTGGGTTAGAAAAAAATTGAAGTATTAATTATAAGAAAAACAAGCCATCTATATGGTTCTGCCACCTTATTGTCAACCTTACCCATCTTTTGTTGTGTTCTACTTATTTGTGGGTCCTGATTGCTGTGCAGAACATTCAAGACAACTGCATGATTAGCATATTCACTTAAGCTGTGGTCCGGGATCCATTCTCTGTCTCCTAAAATGGGCAAAGCAGAAAAAATATATGAAATTTTAAAATGGGAGAAATCTCTGCTGTTAGTTTGTTATATTTATCACATTAGCGGGCAATATTTAGATAAACAGGAAGTATTTCTAACACTGAAATGTAAATTATATTCTGAAAAACAAAAATCATAATTACACAATATTATTAAATACGCATAGCTTAACTATAAGTGAAAAACAAAGTGTATATTGCAGACACAATACATAAACCTATGTTAAATAAAAATAAGTATTTTGTAAAGTATATATAGCAATACGTTTAATTGCACATGAATAAATATATTTGAATAAATTATAAATACAAGAATCTATATGACACAAAGACCTAGCTTTGAAAAATAAATTATCAAAACATCCTAAACATTTTACAGATCCTGAGATTTTGAGATTTGTTTTCAATAAGACATTAAAAATCATCATGTAATACTTAACAGTTAATGAAGTGATATAAAAGGTTCTTATTATTTTATAATTTGGTTATAATCATATTTCTAAATTATAAAATCAATATCTCCCTTGTTTTATCATAACCATATTTCTAATATTCTGATAATAACCTTAAATATGAATATATAGCAATTCAAATGGTATTAACAATTTCAATTATATAAGAAGAAAATTATTTTATTCATTGAACAATTTGCTCAGTATGTCATAATATTAAAGTAGACTGTTGTTGACTGATAGGAAAAAAAGTGTGAGAAAATTATTAAGTTGGGTCACAGGCCATCTGATTTCATATATGTATTTACCTGCAAGTGAAATCCTAGTCAGAGAAGAGCAGCATTCTACACTATGAGAAGGAAGTAAGTTGAGTCTTTCATTTTCTTCAAAAATAAAGAATTTCTCAAATCCATGATAATGCTCATTTATAGGCTTATTTCTGAGGGCTATATCTTGTAACAACTAGGAAACAAAATATTCAACAAAATTAAGTTGATTTTTCTCTCCCGTCAATTCAAAGAAGCATATGCATTCATTGAGCTCCACATGTATTTGACCCAGATGCCGCCCTCATCTAGATTGCTCTTGGAATGCAGACATATAGTACAACACTTACATACTACACAATCTCAAAGACACATAAACGAGGGCTACAGTAATTATCTGGAAGTCAAAAGCAATGCATAAAGGAAGACATAAGACTTATCAGATAGTTTTCTTTCTCCTTTTACTTACTTTCTTCCTTAAAGTTTCTTTGCACATAAATTATCTTGAAATATTTATCTTCCTCATACACTATGTCTTTGAACTAGTGTCTACACTAGTTTTGTCTACATAGATAATAAATTCAAAGATGAAAGTAACATCTAATATAAAACAGATTCGAAGTTCAGAGAGAACATTCCAGAGAGTACATCAAATATAGTATGGGGGTTCTCTGTCTTTAGCCATTCCCAATTAATTTCCAATGAATCTCAACCTGTTCAGTTCACACAGAGAAAACTTATGATCCTGTACAAATTATTATTCAGAAAAATGTTAAACTCTCTTAAAAGCTAGTGACCAAAAAAGCATCTCTTTCAAAGACAAATCCAAATCGAGGCAACTCATCTTCCTGGGCTCTCCCATGTCTTGATGAGCAATTTACAGCATCACTTCGGCCCTAGAAGGCCTCATATTTGGGCTATACAATTGTAATTCCAGAAGCATTTTTAAAAACCACAGTCTTCAGATCAAGAAACTAAGAGAAGTCATGTATCCCAGCCCCTAAACATAGAAAATTAACTTTGGCTATTTCAGAATGAGAATCAAGAACTACTAACTAGTCTAACCCTAACCTAGAACTCCATGGGACCTCTTTATGTTGCCCTACAACTTGTCCATATGGGGCCCGAACTTGACAACAATAAAAATCCCTGAAAAAAAACCAAAGTACAAAATGAACGTTCACTCAATTTGCATGTTAAGAAATGCCACTGCTAAAAAATTGCCCTGCTTCCCACTAGGTAGTTTTTGTCAGGAATTGGAGAAGACTAAAAACCGTGTGTGTCAGTCATTAGGAAAGGGGGAAACAAGTAGGTTATGTCACTTAACTCTCCACAAGCAAGAATTCAGCTAGCAAATTCTAAAACACCAATTTCTTCCTGAGTTTCTTTGGAAAGATCCTCTTATTTTATCTACCTCCCTGTTGGTCCCCTTTATTTTGCAGCTCCTCTTATTTTCTCTAGCTGTTACCCACCGACTTTATCCAGTAGTTTGAGAAATTAGCCACCCATGGAAGATGATCACGGAAAATCTTTGCCACTTGATTTGAATTCTATTACAAGTACAGAGCCCACTTTCTGTGAAACGATTTACACTTTAATTCTCAGATATCATTGCCTTTAAGTGGATCAAAATATTGTTGCAAAATATATTTATAAAAGGGGCAATGTTCACATTAGATGTCCATCGGTCTGCGGAAGAGCCTTTAGAGTCCTAGGACAGATTCACTTGGATGAATACTCCTCGAGGATTCTGATAGAAACCTCAAATATACTTGCCGAGACTATTTCTATAAATTCATTAATTAATTCCTGACCATCTTATTTATATACTGTACTCATTGATATAATCATTTACCACTTTTCACAAAAGCATATGATTTCATGAATAGCAATGCAATCAAACATGTTTAATTGTTTTTAAATGTTTCAAATTTAATTATAATATTCTTAATTATAAACTTAAGAACCACAAATAAGATTTACATAACTTCATATTAGTGATTTATAGTATTTATTTCAGAAGTCAGATTGAAATAATTATATAACTGTACTGAAGTTTTTATGCAGTATTTCCAAATGCATGGTTTTTACATTCACAACAAAGTAATGCATCCATTTAAAAAATAACAATTGTATTGAGCTTACAAAATGGTATCACATTTATACTGCATAACTCCATTTAAGTTTTGACATTATGTTTTTGAGAAATAACCATATTATGAAAGTTGCTGTATTTCATTCATTTTAAATTTTAAATTAGTCTCAATTTTATTAATTGCCACAAATTACTTATCTGTGAATTTCTACAGAATTCCCTTTATTAGTTTAAGAAATCCTTCACAATTTACTAAAAGCTCTTAATTTATCAAATAATCTAGCCACATCTACTGAATGACTGATTCTTTGAGATAAAGCTATTTGAAATAGCTTATCATTTTCTTTATGATTTATTCGGAGACCCAGAACTATTTTCAATTGTATTTAATTTGTTATCATTTTGCTACAAGTTTATAATTGTATTGCAGTGTGCTTAGAAAACATAAAATGTTATGTCTGGCAATTGTGAAAACTTGAATTGTTGTCTAGTATGAACTGCATTTTTATAAATGATCTATGAAAATGTAGTCTTTAGTTGGTATATGTATCTAGTACAAGATATGTCTTTCAAACTCATTTGTGCGAACGTCTTCTTTCTTTACTAATTAGAAATCCCATTAGGTTGATAGATATATCAATAATATCATGTTGTTATGCCCATTTTGCTAAGGTTCTATTGGTAATTACACACAAATTAACTTTTTAGTCATTATGGTAAATAATTTATTGTATCACATATGATGGTTTTGATTTATTATATTTATTATTTATGTATTCTAGTTTTTGCCATTACTCTGAAACAGATTTTATTAAGTATGCTTCTTATAAATAAAATCTTGATGGATGTTGCTTTAAATTCAAACTTGGAATCTGCTGCTAACTACAAATTAGACAGTATAATCTATTCACTAATTTATTCTACTTAGTGGATTTATTTTTATCAGCTTGCTTTACTCTTTCCACTTATTATCAAGAATGGTAAAATGTCACTAATTTTTACCCTAATTGCAAGCCCAATTTGCCCTAATTGCAAGCCCAATTTCAGAGCTACTGAGAGAAGGCAAGAAAGGTCTTTATCGACACACAAAGGGATTTAATTTCTCACAGCAATAAAGGTAGACAGAATATAAGCATGTAATCAAATTTCCTCAGCCAGTTTTCCGAAGAACATCCAGAAGAGGAAAAGATGCCTCTTGTACATGGAATGTGCTATTTTATAAGAGAAAGTTGAGCTTACATCCAAAACCAAATCTGTGCCATCGAGTTGATTCCAATTCTCAGTGAGCTAGAGGAGAGGGTAAAACTGCACCATTTAGTGTCCAAGGCTATAAATAAGCAGCCTACCACATCTTTCACCCATGGTAGATTAGGACCACCTACTTTGGGGTTCAACTCTTTTATTTCATTATTTTTTTCCATTTGTCTTAGCTAATTTATGTTTAAGCGCATGTTTCTGATTCTCTCCAAACATCCACTTTGAACTTATCTTCCCCTCCTGCATTTTTATTGATATTTTTCTTCCTTCATCTGTGATGTTCTTGATGTCATCCCATTGAGTAAGTATGCTGCATAATACCTCTTTGCTTGTAAAACATGGACAAAAAATGAGTGATGCGTGAAATGCTGTATAAATACTTACTATACTATTCTTTCGTCCTTTTTTTTTGTAATGGATTTGGGGTATGTTTTTTTAACTCTCCATACATGTATTTCTCTTCTTTTTTTAAAAAAAAAATCATTTTATTGGGGGCTAGTACAACTCATCACAATCCATAGATCCTTCCATGTGTCAAGCACATTTGTACATTTGTTGCCATTGTCATTCTCAAAACATTTGCTTTCTACTTGAGCCCTTGGAATCCCGTACATCAGTTGTATGAAGAAGATTTGCACATATGTCACCAACATCATTTCCAAAACACTTTCTACTTGAGCCCTTGGAATAAGCTCCTCTTTTTCCCCCCTCCCTCCCCCACCCTACCTCCCTCACGAACCCTTGATAATTTATAAATTATTATTGTTTTTACATGTCTTACACTGTCCAATGTCTCCCTTTTCCCACTTTCCATTGTTCATCCCCGAGGGAGGGGGGTATATGTAGTTCATTGTGATCAATTTCCCATTTCTCCCCCACCTTCCTCTTACCCTCCTGGTACCTCTACTCTCATTATTGGTCCTAAGGGTGTTTATCTATCCTGGATTCCCCTTGTTTCCAGCTCTGACCTGGACCAGTGTACATCCTCTGGTCTAGTCGGATTTGTAAGGTAGAATTGGGATCATGATAGTGGGGGTGGGGGGGAAAGCATTAGAGAACTAGAGGAAAGTTGTATGTTTCATAACTGCTATACTGCACCCTGACTGGCTCATCTCCTTCTCATGATCATACCTTTAGATCTTATTGTTTATAGATGCCATTGAGTTCATTTTGACCCATAGCGACTTTATGCACAACAGATGCAAACATTACGCAGTCCTGTATAATCCTCACAATTGTTTCTATGCTTGAACCCATTGTTGCATCTATAGTATCAATCCATCTCCTTGAGGGTCTTCCTCTTTCTTATTGGTCTAGTTATCAGGAATTGTTTCTTTACATTTAGTTGTAATCCACCCTGATGGCTGTGATCCTTGATCTTTATCAACAAGTGCTTCAAGTCTTCCTCTCTTTTAGCAAGCAAGGCTGTGTCATGTGCATAGCTCAGGTTATTAATAAGTCTTCCTCCAAACCTGATCCCACATGTTTCTTCACCTAAGTCAAAGTCTCTGAATATCTGCTCAGCATACCAGTTGAATAAGTATGGAGAAAGGATATGACCCTGACACACATATTCCCTGATCTTAAACTATAGAGTATCCTCTTGTTCTGTTAGCACAACTGCCTCTTGATTCATGTAAAGGTTTTCTCTATAATCACAAAGAAATTATCTGGAATTCTCATTCTTCTCAAGGCTATTCATAGATTTTTATGATCCACAAAGTTGAATGCCTTTGTACAGTCAGTAAAATATAGGTAAACACCTTTCTGGTATTTTCTTCTTTCAGTCAAGATCCAATTCACATCAGCAATGATATCCCTTGTTCCTCATCCTCTTCTGAATCCAGCTTGGGCCTCTGGCAGCTCCTTGTCAATGTACTCCTGCAACTATTTATTGTTGGATGATCTTTACCAAAATTTTACTTGAAATTGATATCAGTGATATTTTCTATCATTTGAGCAATCTGTTGGGTCACTGTTCTTTGGAATTGGTACAAACGTGGATATTTTAAATTCACTAGACCAAGTAGCTATCTTTCACATTTCTTGGGATGGATGAGTAGCATCTAGGGCTTAATGAACATGTTCAAACATTTCAATTCTGAGAACATTGTTTTGGCTAATGCTTTTCGCACAGTTTGAATTTCTTCCTTCAGTACAATTTTTCTGGATTATATGCTACCTCTTGAAAAGGTTTAATGTCAACTACTTCTTTTGGGTACAGTGACTCTGTGTATACATTTGGTCTTTTGATGCTTACTGAATCTTTCAAAATTTTGCCCAAAGAATCTTTCAATATTACAACTTGAGGCTTGAATTTTTTTCTTAGGCCACAACAGAAAATGAAGGCTCTGAAGGACTTACTCCCACCGACTTTCCTCCATTCACATCCTTACAGTCTACTCCCTTTGAGAAGGCAGCTCTTCTCAGTCATGTTTTGAGTGCCTTCCCTTTTAAGATATGCTGACGGGGG